GGGGGGGCAGTTTGCCTGAGAGGGGGGAGAGGGGAGGGGGTGCCGGAGAGAACTAGAGGGGAGGGGGGTAGGAACGAGGGTCATATCTCAGTGGGCGCCGTGAGGTCACGTGATAAGACATGATAGCAGCAATGTAGGAAGGAGATGTTACACAGCTGAGGTAGTTGCTCAGATTGTGTATTTGTGTGTGTGTGTGTGTGTGTGTGTTCGGGTAGGTTGGCGGATGGTCTTGTGTGGTTTGCTCCTTCTGTCCCATCAAACATCTGTCGTCCTCATCTTTTCTCCATCTTCTCTGTATATGTCACTCTCAAGTAACACCTAAAAGTGTCGGCACTTACTGTGACCTATTTATGTTGCAAGTGCCGTAAAACTCATACTAAAACGAATCTTAACTCTGACATTTTTGTGTGGGTGGTTGGCGGATGCTCTGGTGTGGTTTGCTTCCTCTTTCCTATCAAACATCTATCGTCCTTATCTTCCCTTCTTCTTTTTTTTTAATCTTTGTTACTCTCTTGTAACAGCTCTAATCTTCTGGCGCTCAAACGACATTATGCAGTTGCGAACGCCGTAAAACCTCTACTAAAAACATGACATGTGTGTTTAGGTACGATGAGTTCTCCTTGTGTGTCCCTCTTGATGGAACCTGCTCAAACGGCCACCGGTATTACACTAATCGCTACCCTTGAATTACAAAGTTCTATCTGCTCAGTACCTAGTTTTGATAAATTTGACGTCAAACATTTTTTAGTTTCAGAACATGTCTTGCTTTTTCAAATATGCGATTCTTTGAATATCTTGATAACGACTCCGAATAATCTTACGATTTTGATGCTTCTGACCTCATGGTCGTAGTAACTCAAAACAACTAAAAAATATCAGATAGGGCTTTGTAATTCTGAGGTCGGTAGCGAAATGCTAGTGTAAACGGCCTCTGTCCATTTCCCAATCGAGCGTTTGATTTTTTTTCTCTTTCTTTTAAAAAAGTATTTACATTATAAATGACACAGTGTAGCACCTTACATTAAAAAGGACACTGTGTAAGGTGCCCACCCGTCTAAGGCAACCGCTTTTCTCCCAGACAATGAGTGGCCGTCTTAGACAATTTCGACTATGTTATGTATACCTTAACTATCGGGGGGGGGGTTTAGGTATGGAAACTTTATTTAACAAATGAGTGTTTTATATGATGTGATGTAGGCCGATGGCCTTAAACACTGAATAAACTTATTCACGTACTTACTTAACTAACGGGCTAACGCGGGTGGTTGGAGGGTGTTGCTCACTCGATCGGTGGTTGTGCTGGGATGATATTCCACTCATCCAGGGTTGTTGGCCTACGTGAGAACTGATCATTTGTCCATGGGGACGTAATACATAATATGTAATCCATTTGCCACGGGTGGTTGGAGGGTGCACCTGGTTTATCGAACTTTTTTTCGTTTCCTTTGTTGTTTGTGTCTATTATCTGTTTAGGCTTGGGTTGGGGGGTTCAGCGCTATACTATTCGCCCGTTATTGCGTCGATTTGTTTCGATTTGCTGTCTGTCCATGCCAAGAGCTGTGTGTCGATAGTGGTGTAGAACCTTGACCATCTATCACGTCCCCTATGTGATGTAAAGTGTGTCGGTTGTGACGTGAAACAATATGTCTTTTGTCTGTCCACCCGTAAATGTGTCAATAGTGACGTGAAACAATGTGCCGTGTCTTTCCACCCATAAATGTTTCGATAGTTACGTAAACAATGTGTCATGTGTCCAGTGTGTCTGTCCACCTGCACCTGTGCCAATAGTGTGTCAATGTGTCATTGTGTCATGTGTGTGTGTGTGTGTGTGTGTGTGTATCTGTCCACAGAGCTACACGCCCAGCAGACAGGATATACCCCTGGCCCGTAAATGTGTCAATAGTGACGTAAAACAATGTGTCAATGTGTCATGTGTGTGTCCACAGAGCTATGTACCCAGCAGACAGGACATCCTCCTGGCCCGTAAAGCCACCAAAGGCATCATCGAGCACCAGATCATGATCAAGGGCGTGCCCTTCATGTTCATCGACGTGGGAGGTCAGAGGTCGCAGAGACAGAAGTGGTTCCAGTGCTTCGAGGGGATCACCTCCATTCTCTTCCTGGCCTCCGCCAGCGAGTTTGACCAGGTGAGCTTTTTGTGGGTGGTTGGCGGGTGTTCTGGTGTTGTTTTTCTCCTTCTTTCCTATCCATCCTGTGTCGCCTTTCTACTACAACTAGCTCCCCTACTTTTTTGCGTTTGGTACTCTCTTGTAGCACCTCTAATCTTTAGCAATTATATATGACCCATTCAATTGTTTTGCAAGTGCCTTAAATCGTTTACTAAAACAAACCAAAAAAAGTGTGTGCTATCCATATCGCTCCTTCTTTTCCATGTATGTATGTTACTTTTTAGTTACGCCTCTATTCTCCAGCACTTATATTATGACCTAATTGTGGTGCAAGTGCCAGAAAACTCTTAACGGCAAGTGGTTCGCGGGTGCTCTAGTTTGGTTTGCTTTTTTTTCCTATAAAAAATCCATCATCGTTATCTTTCGTTTCCTTCTTTTTTGTGTTTGTTACTGTCTTACAACAACTCTTATCTTCGACACTTATGTGACCTTAATGTTGCAAGTGCCGTAAAATGTTCGCTAAAACAAAACAAAAAATATTATCCATATTACTCCTTCATTCTTTTCTGTTTATGTTACTCTTTAGTTACACCTCTAATCTTGAGCGTGGGTGGTTGGCAGGTGCTCTGGTGTGGTTTGCTTCTTCTTTCCTATCAAACATCTATATCGTCCTTATCTCCCCTTCTTTTTTATGTTTGTTACTCTCTGATCTTCTGGCGCTCATATGACCGTATGGAGTTGCGAGCGCCATAAATCCTCTACAAATATTAAAAACTAAAACTCCCACTTTCTTCGTTGTGCAGGTCCTGATGGAGGACCGCAAGACGAACCGGCTGATGGAGTCGTGCAACATCTTCGAGACCATCATCAACAACCGCAACTTCGCGGCCGTCTCCATCATCCTGTTCCTCAACAAGATGGATCTGCTGCAGGAGAAGGTGGCCCTGGTCAACATCTCCGACTACTTCCCCGAGTACCGAGGTGACCCCCACAGCCTGGACGAGGTCAAGCACTTCCTGTGCCAGATGTTTGACCAACGGCGCCGCGAGCGTTCCAAGCCGCTGTTCCACCACTTCACCACGGCCATCGACACGGAGAACATCAAGCACGTGTTCCAGGATGTCAAGGACACCATTCTGCACGACAACCTGCGCTCACTCATGCTGCAGTGATGGCGTCTGTTTATGTGTGTGTGTGTGTACATGTGTGCATGTGTGTGTGTCCACGTGTGTGTGTGTGTGTCTGTGCTACATGTGTGTACGTACATGTGTGTGTGTGTGCGCGCATGTGTGTGCGTATTCGAGTGTGAGGGAGACACTGGCCTATATCTGTTCTGTCTAGTTCTGTATCATCAAAGGCCTCCAACAGAACAAGGCATGCTAGGCTTCCATTGTTCTGGAAAATTCCAGAGTCTGTTTATGTTTTGGGTTTTTTGGGGGGGTTTTGTTTTTTTTATGTTTGAAAGTCAATTAAATGACTTTGTGATCTTTGTACATGTCCTCTGTACATGCTGGGAACGTTAGTACATGTCTTCTGTACATGTTGGAAAGGGCTTCATTAATTGTCCACTCATGTTTTCTACCCAATATACTTCTTTGCTGCTTTTACATGAAGGGAAGCAGACATCTTTATAGTCCAGCAACCCTCCTTTCCCCTCTTCCTCGTTTTCCCCGACTATCCATCCTGTCCAGTTTATGGTGCCCACAGGTCTTACATTGTTGCTTTATCATTTCTCCCTGTATACAAATCATTATTTATGGAATGTACACACACACAGTGAACCAGACTTGCCTTCCTCATCCAGTCATAGTGTGTGCAGCTCCTGTGACACCCTCTGCTTTAAAAGATCACAGGACAACCTAGGCTAGTGTGTGTGGGGGCAAAAAGTTTTTGTCTTTACCTGTAGGAAAAGGGGGGGGGATTTTTTTATTTTAAAAAAAAAATTTTTTTTGCTTTTAAGAAATTTCTGTCATATATAATGTGCCTAATGCGTAGGCTAATGCTGGAAATTCCTATCATATCTAATGTGCCTGGCTTTCAGTTTCTTTTGTTGATGGTGTCAAGACTCGTCGATACTGGGATATTCGCAGATACTGGGCTGACTGGCGGGGAAAAGTGGTTGACCTTTTGTATTATGATGTCTGTTGTCACATCCTGGGCTTCTTTGTCGCTCTGAACCACCCACATTGTCAACTTGTGGTCATCTGATTGGCTCAATCCACATTTTCATTTTGTAGAGAAACCTGATTGGCTCTACCCACATTGTCAATTTATAGAGATCTGATTGGCTCCACCCACATTGTCAACTTGTGGTTATCTGATTGGCTCCATCCACATTGTTGATTTGTAGAGATTTAATTGGCTTAACCCACATTGTCAACTTATGGAGATCTGATTGGCTCCATCCACATTGTTAACTTATGGTAATCTGATTGGCTTGACTCTTTGCCTTCAGTGGCGTGCATCTCTGTACTTACAACCTTAGTGTCACTAAACACAAGAAGATTGTCAACATTTGCCTGACGGAAGTCGCTGGTTCCTGGTGACCTTTGACCATTGCTTGTGTGACAAGGTGGGCCCCTCGTCCCCTCCTCTCCTACCCGTATGTGTTGGTGAGATGATTTGATCGTAATTTTTCCCCTCGTTGGAACGTCATAATCTTCTGGTAGACAGCTGTTGTGACGGTTAAGTCATGGAATGTGGCTTGTGTCTTCGTAAATAATGTCACAGCGACAGAGACATACATGGAAACGTACGTAGAATAGGCTGTCCCAACACCACTGACACATACGTGGAAACAGAGTAGAATAATTTATCCCAAACACCACAGAGACATACGTGGAAAGGTACGTAGAATAGTTTATACTCACCACTAGAGAGACATATGTGGAAGCATACGTAGAATACTTTATCCCCACCACCACCACACAAATGTATGTGAAAACGTAGTAGAATAGTTTATGCTCGCCACCGCGACAGAGCCAAAGACATCAATGTGGAAAGATGTGTAGAATAGTTTACTTTCAGCTGTCCCCCTTATTCCACATGGCCCTATTTGTGTTTATTTTTAGAATTAGAAATGACAATTCATTTCTTTAGGGAAATAGAGACGTGTTGGACATTAAGGTAGCAGTTTGGTACCTAGGGCATTGAACATTATGTGTAGGTAGCTAGGCCATTGAACAATATATGTATATTCTTATATCAAGGAAGTGGAAAGATGTTATTGTACTTACATTTTTGTACAAAAAACATAGTACGGACCGGTGGTGAAATGAAATGAATATCGTCTCTTGTGAATGTAGCATATATTCTGTAGTCACTGAGTCAGTCATGCAGCGATAGTGTCACCATCACATAGTTCAGCGTGGGACATTGTTGTAGTAAGTTATAGTTTTATCACTATCACATAGTACACTGTAGAACATATGTATAGTTATAGTTTAATCACTATCACTTTGTAACAGTGTATGACATTGTTACAGTTTTATCACCACCACATGGTAACAGAGTATGACATTGTAATTGTTTTATCACCACCACATGGTAACAGTGTAGGACATTGATACAGTTTTATCGCCACCACATAGTAACAGTGTAGGACATTGATACAGTTTTATCACCACCACATAGTAACAGTGTAGGACATTGATACAGTTTTATCGCCACCACATAGTAACAGTGTAGGACATTGTTACAGTTTTATCACCACCGTAACCAGTTATCATGAGGGTTATTTCATAAATCCAGGAAGGAGTCTTTAAGTCTTGCAGTACGTGTTTTGTATACACAAACAAAACTGTGCCGAGGGTGGAGATGTAAGTTTGTACTTGATGCTCCCGACCACTGCTGTGAGCCATCGAGGTTACTCTCTTGTGTAACGAGTGGAGTGAGCACTTCATGGAGGTTGTAGTTTTACCCATATCACAACCCCCATTTCAGGGTCTC